ATGTATTTTTTAGAGACAGATCTCACTATGCTGCCCAGGTTGGTCTGAAACTCCTAGGCTCAATCAATCCTCCCACCTCAGTCTCCTGAGATGCTGGGATTACAGGCATGAGGCACCCTGCCCAGTTTAGCCCTTTCAGTCTGATTAGTCCTTCCCAAGAACACAAATACACCGATAGTATTTCTATTCAGCCTTGTCTTGAATCTTCTCCCAGAAGATGTGTCCTGTTGACCTCCCTTTCCCAGCTTGTCTTATCCCCAGCCCCCTAGTCTGCGTCCTGGCCTCTTTGTACGGACAACCCAGTTAGAGAGCCTTCCACCTGCAGACCTCAGCAGCTCCTGGTCTCTCCCTCAGGTCTCAGTGGTGGGCACCCTTCATTATATTCTCCACATGACTCCAGGTGAGGGACAAGTGTGCTACTAGGCGGATGGGGCCCAGGCACCCAGGCCAGGAGAGAAAGGTGGCATTCAAGCCACCTAATCATTGAAAGTGGCTCCCATGTCTGCTCTGTCCCCTCCTACTTTATATCATGCCTCTCCCAAGCTCTATGGAGTTGAGGACAGCAGTGGCAGGATGTCAGCTAGAAGTGTCGTAGTCATCAAGCCACTATTAAACAGCTGCTCTAGGCCAGGCACTGTGCTGGGTGGGCTTGGGGACACAGATGAACCAGATAGGACCCCGGAGGGAGGTCTTCCTCACTCCCAAGCATGGGGTCAGTCTTCTGAGGAAATGCATTCTGGGCAAGCCCCGGGAGCTAGGGACTGGCTTGCTTGCTTCGCCACTGAAAGAAAGTCAGTTCAGTTCTAGACCTTGGCCTTGCATTCCTCTTCCTCTCTCAGTCTCAGTGCCTGAGGTCCCAGCACACCTCATAGCTAAGGCTCCCTGAGCCGGACTCATAGCTGGGAATCAGCTGAGTGAACCTCTGAGCCCTGCTTCTCTCTGACAGTCTCAGAAATGCTGGGGGGTGGGGGGGGCTCTGGGTGACAGCCTGCTTCTCAGAGGCTGTTAAATGAAATCTCAGACAAACTGTCAAGACTGTGGTAGAACATATGGGGTGTAGGAGAACACAAGGTTTTGTCATTCAGGGGCAGGTACCAAGTCAGGTCTGCCTCCCATCAGAGATCTACTCTGGAGAAATGCCACTGGGTTCTTCATTAACAAGGATCCCAGCTGACAGCAGCTGGCAAGAATGCTGCCTTTTTTCTTCCTCAAATGATTCCACAATCTAAACCTGGCTCATCTGGGGGTGAGGGTATTTGCTGAACCGAGAAGGAAGCAGATTTGGGAGCTCTTTTTAACACCATTGCCACCACCATCATGTAACTAGCAAGAATGTTTTTGTGGGGCAGTACTAGGTTGTGGCTTCATGTACTTCCCCAACCCCATTTAATTCTCATGGCAACCCCAAGACATAGACATCATCACCCTAATCTTACAGATGAGGAACTGGGACTCAGATAAGGAATTTAGGGATTTTCTCAAGGTCATATAGCTAGAAAGTGGAGGCAACACCCTCTCAATCCAAGTCTGTCTGACTCCAAGGCTTGTGCAATCTTCACTGTGACATGCTGTCGCTATAAAAGCCACCATTTACTAATTACCTAGTATGTCCCAAGCCTTGGGCTAGATGCTTTATTTTAGTTAATTACTTTAGCAGTTTTCATGAAAGAGTTACCATTATCGCCCATTTTAACCGGAGGTGCCTACGCAAAGGTTGAATCATTTCCCCAAGGTCACACACACCTAGGGAGAGGTAAAGGTAGGATACTTTGTATTAAACCGTACTCCTTTACACAAGAGGAAGGCAGGCAGTAAGTCAAACTGCATAGCCGATTTCACTTTGCCCCACTGTGCAAAGGAACGCAGTCTTCCCGGCTCAGATCGAGCTCATGGAATACCAAGTAGGAGTCTGGCAAGAAAAACATCTGCTGCCTCGTGCTTCTAGGTTTCTGGTCACTTGGGCTTATTTTACATAAAAATCTGTCTGGGGATCCTTCCTAATAGACAGCTGTTTCTTCTGAATCTAGATCAGCAGGGAGCAGGGACATGATGATTCACACAAACGTAAAAGGAATTTTTACAGTAACGTTTGGAAGCTAACATTATCTATTCATTTGTAGAACAAATATATTCCTGGTTCTGTCTCAAATGTTATAGGTTTGGAGAAGTGAATGGTCCTGCTTTCCAAGTGTATGTCATTAACTGAAGGTGACAGATACACAAATAAGGAGCTGCAAGCTGACTTGCTTTTGTGAGCAATCTGTAATGTGATTTTTAGCAGGTAATCTAACCTCTCCAGACTCTGACTCCTCAGTATAAACTTCAGTAAAAGAGATAACGTACCCATCCTCCTTCCCTCCATTTCTTTGTTTTCTAAGACAATTTACATATGTCTATGTCTTAGCAACTAAGTGCTGCTAAAATGAGGAACAACGCAGAGCTTCCCTGGAGCCTCAGTTTGGAGGAGTTGACAGACATTTACATGATTCACTGTAGTAAGCACTTGTCCTGAGCTATGTACCCAGGAATGGCAGTGTCTGGAGCCCCCGGTGGCCTGTCTTGGAGGCTTGTGACTCCTTGACTGCAGAGGGTTCATCCCCACCCACCACTGGCACAGGCTCTTCAAATTCCACGCTTTGCTGGGACCTTGAGGCGAGTTGGACCTACTGGCGTGACGACACTGACGTGCCATGAGATTCACAAGCTCAGGAAGTGACCAGGAGGACATACACGAGCCATATCCTGCTGGCACTCATCAGCGTGTCCTGGTAAGGGCATCTGGGAAGCAGAACAGCCAGAGGCAGCCAACAAGTGATAGCCTTAACTAGACCCCATAATGGGCCCAGTAAAGAAAGGCTGAACTAGTAATGTTTTCTTGGTAGGAATATTATTTATATCTCCAGTCTTTAAAAGAACTCATACCACGGGAAGGCCCGCAAGCATGCATTCATAAAATCATACAACTGAAGAGAACAGCAAAATGCTTCCTACCCAGAGACAAAGCCGCATTTCTGGCCAGGATAAATGAATAGGGTTTTCCTCACTCTGTTTCTGCTCCTGGCTCTGTTACTTGATTAGTCTTGTGAATTTGGGAAAATCTCTTAATAATCTCTCAGCTTCTCAGTATTTTGGGGGTCATTTGAAGGGACTATAAAGTACCTTCATCTTCAGAAGGTGCAAATTTGAATGCCTATTGGTCCCTCCCAGTCCACTGGAGTGACAAAAAGGGGACAGTTAAGTATGATAGGCAGAAGTGTGCTCTTCTCCAGAGAGGTACTCTTGGGCAGGGGGAAGGCCAAGGCGTAAGGACCAAGTCTTCAAGATGAGACATGATTAACCAGGTAAGGCAGAGAAGGTGCTCCAGGGAAAGGGAAGGGCTCGTGCAGAGACCCAGGGGCACAGAAGAGCACAGAGCCCGCACTCAGGAGGCCGTCTTGCTGCGGGATTTCCCCATCTCACTTTCCCACCTTGTCATTGCTCCTCGCAAGGATGGGCTCTGGAGCATAAAAGGCCTGCACTTGTGTCCCCTGCTCTGTCTCGCACTTCCCGCGAGGTCCCTCCTCAGCCTGCTCTCCCACTCTGGAGATGAGGGTGGCCACCTCTCCAGTCCCTGCTCTTTCCCTGTGTGTTCTCCTTGGGCACGTTTAGTTGTCATGACCCCCGCTACTGCTTTCTTGTTGATGGCTCGCAAATCAAGAACTCTAGGCCCTAACTTCTTCAGGAGCTGAGGAAATCCTTAATTGCAAATCGGCATTTCCTCCCGGGTGTCCTAGGAGGCACGTCCTCCTACTGAGGCACAGCTCTTCCTCGCCCTGACGATGCTCAATGTGGAGGCCACGCCTTGTTCCCAGTGCTGCTTCTGCTCTCAGGTCCTCATCCTGGTGAAAGCACCACCATTACCCAGGCTTCCAGGCAGCAGACTCCTCTCCCCAGCATCCCTTGGACTCAATCAATTAATGAGTCTAGCTCATTTCTTCCTAAATAAAACTTGAAAATGCCCTTCATCCTTTCCATGCCTGGCACTACCTTGCTCTCCCCTTAGGCAAGGGCTCTCCAGCACAGAAGTCACAAACATGGAAAGTACACAGTCGGTGACCACTGAATGAACTGCTTTGAGAGAAAGCTCTGCACACATGAGGCACCACTACATTGGAAGACATTCCAAAAATATTATAAATCCCTCCTCTTGGATACCAGGTCCTGGTTCACTGCCCTGATCTGGGGTATAGGAATTGGCTGGGGTGTAGCTCTCTTTGGCTGGCTCCTGGGCCCCTTTGTGCCTCTGGGTCTCAGCACAAGCCCTTCCCTCTCCCTGGAGCAATTTCCCTGCCTTACCTAGTTAACTATTTCTCATCTTTAAGACTTGGTTCTTACTCCTTGGCCTTTCCCCTACCCAAGAGCACCTCTCTCTGCATTCCAGAGTACCCTGGGGCACATTTCTGCCCTATTATATTATAACTGTCCCCTTTTTGTCACCCTAGTGGACTGTGAGTGACCAATAGGCAGGAACTATGCTCTAGTCATCTCTGCCATCCTAGCACAGAGCAGACCTCAGTTAAAAACTGTCCAATGGCTGACGCAATGAAAAAAGGAAGAATGTGTTGACATGCATCCTGGGACACCAGCATTAGCCCCCTACCGGCAGTCTTCTGGATGCCAGCTCTGAGGGTACACGGCGTCAAAGCCTTTCAGCTCATCTTAGAACTGCAGGATCATTTAAGAGCTTACTGCAAAATGGGTATTGATCCAAGATTCCCTTTGGACCTTTGATTTCTCACTCTTTCCATCTGTCACCCAGTGGGAGCAACAAAATCTTGCTCATAAAAATTCCAAAGCCTTGGATAGCAGTTTTATAACTATGGATACCTGAGGCTGCTTCTCTGCCTCTCCTGATAGCCCGTCAGGAGCCTTTGATGCTTACCCTCTGGCCTCCTCCCACCCCTACCCACCCACATGTGGCCCTGAAGAGCCCTGGCTGGATCTGGGGCCCTTGGACTCACCCTGCATCAAAGGGGTTCTCCCCAGGGATGATGTGCGTGCTGTCCCTGCCCACGAGGAACTTGATTCGGTCATAGAAGGAGTGTAGGTTCTGCTGGGACACAGGGACCTGTGTCTCCTGGATGATGTCCAGAGGGTCGGGGGAGCCCAGGCACAGCGGATTGACATGACAGAGGGGCTGGAGGCAGCAGTCAGGGTCCATGCAGTCCACCAAACCATCTGCAGGGGTGACAGAGCATGTGGTTTATGTTGCTATGTCCAATCAGCCATGTTTATCCACGATGCCTTCATTCATTTCTTCTCTATTTTTCACTCACTGAAAAACTTTATTAAATGCTGATGTAAGCCAAGAGCTTTGCTGGGCACCAAGGAGATCGGAGAGACTCAGTTCTGGTCCCAGCCCACCAGTCTAGGAGGGAGGCAGACAAGTGAGTGTATAAGGTCTGTACTGCATGTTCTTCCTTCTAAACAGCAAGTAGGAAGGCCTGGAGGTGAGATAACATGTGGACATCTGAGTTGCTAACTCAAACGCTGCTGCTCAGAGGCCAGAGGAATAGCACAGCATGGTGCTGCTGGGGCCACGGGGGCACACGATGCTGGGCCCTGTGCACCAGATCAGGGAGTTGGAATTTCACCCTCAGGACAGTGGGAACCACTAAAGGAGTTGACACAGGTGGTGACTTTCTCTGGTGTGCACTGTTGAAACTAAAAAGGAAGTCGGGGGCCATTGGGGCTGTGACTGAGATTACACAAGTGAAAAATAAAGGTTGATGAGACTAGTGTAGTCGCAGCAGAGATGGAGACGCAGGTGGTTTTGAGAGGCATTTAGTTCAAACTGTTAAGACCTGGTAACTGCCTGGCTTTGGGGGTGAGGAAGAGGCCTGGGTGCTGCAGGGCGATCGTGTGGCCTGGGGCTCATCCCTCAGCTCTTTGGAGGCCTTCTCTGCCTTTGGTGATGGAGCTATAGGGATGTTGGTGCTTTCTGAGTTTGTTGGATGGTTTCAGATCTCTGATGAAGTTGCCATGAGCAGGGAATTCTCAGTACCACATGAGAGGTTGCTTCAGGACCAAAAATTATATTAAAGCTCTACTATGTTCCCAAAGTGCAAAGAAATAAATTCTACCAGATTATAGATTTTTGGTCTCATTCTCCACAAATACTTTTATAGGCACCTAATAGAGCACCTTACAGTGGGTAACAAACCTAGAGATCAGCGGACAGTGCCCAGAGTAGTGGGCAGGAAAAGCCTAGGGCTACAGCCTCTGAGCTTTGTAGTGAGAGAATAGTCTAATGATGTATATTCCTGGCTGAGTTTGAATTCTAGGTCTACCATTTGTTAGCTGTGTGACTTTAGGCAAACCTTCTCACCACCCTGGAAGCACAAATCCATTCTGGTCATCTCTGTCACATCGCTAGCACTGAGGAGAGGTGTTTAAAACACTACTGTTAAATAAATGAATGAACGGAAACCAGATGTGTTAATTAACAAATGAAGCAGGGGATGAGACCAATGGCCAGTCCATAAAAGCCAGAAAACTGTTATCTTCATTCCACTCAAGGAAGCAGTGTAGCATGGTGAGAAAGTCATGATGCTCCAGGCTGAAGTTCAAGACCCCTGACTGTGGCCCTGGGCGCACTCCTGTACTCAATCTCTCTGAACCCTGGTCTCCTCATTAGTCACATAGGCACTGATGCCCTCACCTTCCTCTGTCCCCATGGGGTTTACAGTAGAAGATGCTCCCCACCAGAGTACTGTGTGTGCCCCAGCTAGAGTCGGTGCAGCCCTAATCCTTCTTACCGGCTGTGTGGCCTCAGGCAAGCTACTTGACTGCCCTGGAACCCCCCTTTTTCCTTAGTAAATTAACAAGAAAAAAAGCCTTGTCTTTCTCTCCCAGTTCTGCCTGATTCCCAAGAGCTAATAGTTTCCATTAAGGCAGCCCAGTGATAAAGAGTATGGATCCCAGAAATAGACCATCTGGGGTCAGATCCTGGCTCTGAAACCTAATTCTGTGTGACCTTGACCAAGTTATTTAACTTTCTGGCCTAAGTTTACCATGTCTCTTAAAGGGGGATAGTAAGAGTAGGTTATCTATGTAATAAATGTGAGTATTTCTTATACAGGTAAAAATTAGAGCACTGTGCCCCCAAATCTAGCACAGCCTCTGACACGTGGTACCTGGTACACAGTGTCTAATAAGGAGTAGTTTCCCTTCCTGATCCTGACCCCAGAAGATGGTTCACCCAAATGAAAGGCCTTTGCTCACTCGGACATGTGGGTGGAAGGCCTCCCCCACGTTTTTCTGGGTCTAAACTTGTGGCTCCTGCCCCAGCTCGCCGATACAACTGTCTAGCCTTCTAGCAAGGCCCGGTCTTCTCCTGCAGACGGCAGGCTCCATCACCGCTCTGGTGCTGCCCCCGTCAGACATTGCTTAAACACATAATTACAGCCCCAGCTGAGGGTTATTTGCATTCTGCTATTGATGTTAGCATGACAGAGTCAGCTGCTGCATCCATAACTCTGCAGAAATGCTCCATTATTCAATCCCAGCGAGCAGCGACGCTGACCATTAAATCAGCTAGCACAATTGAAGGGCCGTGAAAAGTCATGGCTAATTTGAAATTTTATTAGCTCTTCCCTGCTCTTGTTTACCACCAAAGCAGTCCCTGGAAGCCAGTCTTTTACCTCTTTATAAATGCTCTGCTCTGTGGCACCTGGAAAGGACTGCTGCCTGCTGAGGACGGACGTGTGCTCTCCGGCCCTGGCAGGAGGTTAGCCAGGAACGGTCTTGTTATTAGTAATATCTATATAAAACTGATGATGATGATGACACATGCAGCATTTACTGAGTGCCAGGCATGGTGCTAAATATTTTACAAGGAACATGCCATCGAATGCTCCCAACCTTATGAAGTAACCACTCTCGTCACCCTCATTTTAGAAAAAAGAAGCCAGTAACTTAAGGAAGGTCATATAGTCAGGAGTGAAGAAGCTGACTCAGAATTCAAAGTCAGTTCTTTCTGGGGTATGAAATGTTCTTTGAGATCTGGAGAGAGGAACTCCCTCTTAAGCAGAAACATGAATTTATGATTCTTACTGAAGTAACACTCTTCCATGCTCTTCAGACTCCTGGGCAAGCCCCCATCACAGCTTTTCTTTCCCCAGTGTTATAATTTTGATTTTCTCTCCGTCCCCCTCCCCAGACAATGAGAGACCAGGGGCTCTGACTCATTTTGGTATCCCCCGCCCCAGAACTTGACCAGCACAGAGACTGTACTTTACTGTGTGAAGAATGAATAGATGACTGACCCATGCCAGGGCTGTCCCACTGATCCAGGATCAGAATCACAGGAGGCCAGAGCTCCATGGAGCTTTTATTCTGTGATCAGTGGCTGAACACACAGTGCTTAAGAGAGCCATCTCAGTAGGCAAACTGCCTGGATTTCACCCCAATTCTCATGGAATCTGTGTGACCTTATGCCGGTATTCAACTCCTCCAAACCTTAGTTTCTTCATATGTATGGTGGTGGTGGTGGGGGGGGAAGATGGTTCATTCCTTAGATTCCGCAATCTGCTGCTATAGCCAGGTGTGAAGTACAAAGATTCCTTTGGGCATCTTGTGACAATGAGACAAAGGTTTTCCAGAGAAGAACTTTTAGACTGAGAATCTGTCTCCCGGCATGGGACCCAGCATGTAGGCATGTGTGCTCCACGTGGTGGTGACAGGCCACACCATGGACCTTTTCCTTAGGATTTGTGTCTTTTACTAGTTCTGGAAAGTTTGGGTGTACGCTCTTGGAATATTCCTCTCTAGTCTTTTCTTTAGGAATCCTAAAGGTTTAAACTGGATCTTTTCCTAGCTTTCACATCTCTCAATCTCTTTCTTAATCTCCATCTTTTTATCTGTGTTCCGTTCAGATTTATTTTCACAGAGCTATCTTCTCCTTCATTTCCCCTTCTTTTGTGATTGGTCTGCTGTTTAATTTGTCCTTTGGATCATTCATTTAAGTGACTATACTTTAAGATTTCTGCATAGTCTATTTGGAACTCTTCAAAGTGTGCCTGTTTCTTTCTTGATAGTATCTTTTTCCACTTTTTAAAAAATGTCATTTTATCTCTTTAGTTATTTAAAAACATTCATTTTATAGTCTCTTTTAGATTGTTAACTTCTTGGGGATGGTAATTCTCTTGTATATCACAGTGCCTGACTCTGGCTTATGGTCAATCATTTCCAGGGTGTTCTGTGATATTGGTTGTTAGTTCTAGGTGGTTTGCCTCTTTTCTGGGAATCTTATAGGCAGAAATGGTTGAACTAGCCCTCCTGAATGGTTTCCTAATTACTTCCACTTGCCTCCCGAGAGGTACCACTAGTCTGGGACCACTTTTCAGGCTGATACCTTAGCTTAGAGTTCTAGGACCACTCTGGCATGTAAGTTTGGATTTCAAGACACCTCGAGGTGTTGCCTTGATGTCTCAATGATTTTTATTCCTTCCCTCACATGACTTGCATCTTGTGAGGGTCCCAGTTTTTTGCAGGGCCTCAGTTGCAAGTGCCCACTTTGAATGTGCCTTGTCTTCTGACTCTATGAACATATCACATCCTAAGAGTCTACCTTACTGGATTGGATAATCTCCTATCTCCACTGGGGCTGCCATGGTTTTAGCTTATGTGCCTACTGCTCTGGCTTTTGGCTTTGTTTTGCTTCTAGAATCTGGGGCTCCCATGAACCCCCTTTTCTTCTTTGCTGAATTTAAAAAACAAATTGTACCTTGTGGTCAGAAAGGTTTTGTGATGACCTAGGTGGCCATTTTACTGGAAATCAAAGTCCCGGCAGAAACTCTGAGCTTTAGTTCTTCTCTCTGGAAAGTGAATTAAACCCACTTCATAGAGATGCTGTGAGGATTAGGAGAAATCACGGCTGTAAAGCAATTAACATGATAACTGGTGCCTGTGTAAGTACTTGATAAATGGTTGTTATTATTAGCTCCTGGCCAGGTGCCTCTCTTGAACCAGTATCCTGGCGGCAGACCTGCCCTTTGGCCCTCCCCTGACCCCTTCCCATACATGCATCCCTGACCGGCCCTTCTGGGATGCAGTGACCTGTAAATTAGTGAGTAGAGACCTCAGGAGATTTGCAGATTGGAGTCCTCTGAAATGGTGATATCACATAAACTGTGCTCTTAGGAGAGACCCTGGGACTGTGGAATTGTTTGTTCTGT